TTATCCTACATGCCAGTGTGCGACTTTACTCGTCCACTTCCAATCAAACCAATACCAGGTGTCGTTAGTAATAAGGAACCACCAGAGAAGTGTACCACTTATAAATTGAGTTATATGCCAAACTGTGTATTACCAAAAGATCCCATGCCTTGGGCAGAGAAGGCGCCGTATATTAAACCATGCATACCCATGGAGAAATGCACAATACAAAAGCTGAGCTATGGCCCACCAGGAACTTTCTCTCGTTGTGGTGGTAAGATTCCCCATATCGTAGTTTATACAAGTCAATCATTTTCTTCTTTTTTCAGGCGTTTGTCCACAAAGCGATTCGTCGCCTTGTTACCCAAAAGCAGCAATCTGTTAAAGGAACCTATTTGTATCAAATGTTCAATTTGTTCACCTCTAATTTTTTTATGTGTAAAATTTTAAAACAATTATTAATGTTGAATTGAGCCAAAAGTCTAGTTTAGCTATACAACCAGTTCATTGAGTCACTTGTATCTTATAAAAAAATCTTGGAAACTTCTCAAAATTTATAAGTATTTCATCTATTAATAAAGGTTTTAAAGTTTTATATAAATAATTTTTTTTATTTTATTCCACATCATAAACGTTATTCTCATCACTACAACACTACGTCAATTGAATATGAACTCGTTTTGTGGCTTGTCTTTTCTTTTTATCTCGTTTTTTACGTTCTTGTGTGGCCTCTCGGAAAAGCTCTATTCCTTGCCTTTCCTCAATATCTCGTTGTAACATGCCTAAGCCATGCAAATTTATACCAATCGTATCACGCAATGCTAAAACGTCAGATTTTAGCGATTTTATCAAACTTTCTAGTAGAGGCTTCATTGCTTTTGAGCTTGTAATTGGTTTCATATGCACCTTAAAAAGAAATATGGTAACCTTACACAACAGTTCTATTTCATCATTACGTTTTGCAATTAACTGTGGTAGTCTGTCTAACAATTCGCAGACATTCGAAAAAGGTAGTATAAGTAAGGCCTCTTCCAAATCAGAAGCACGTATTCGACCTATAGTAGCTAGTAAGAAATCATCTGTATTTGTTACTTGTAAAGCGCGCAATAAGGGATGTATGTCGGGTTTATCTTCAGCATCAACGTCGTATTGGTTACATATCTCCAAACATTCCAAAATGGATTCAGCTGCTTTTTCAGAACCCACCGTTTTACGAGATGCTAATTTTAGACCTGGAAGTAGCGGTACTCCACTATCTTCACCAGTTGCTAGCTGCTGATTTTCCATTTCTTCACGTTCATCTTCTTGTACATCTTGCAAAACTAGAGGTTCATCGGTGCGTTGAAACACACGCAGTGTGCGATCTGAACCACACGTAACTAAATATTTGCCATTAGGACTCACAGCCAAATTGTACGCTTCTCCAATATGTCCTAAAACAAAACTTCATGTATAAAATCGGTGTTGATTAACCATTTCAAATAAAAACTTACCTGGTAATGTTAGAATTCTATCAAAACTATCTGCATCCCACTGTTTAATTTTCCCATCTTTACCACATGTGAAGAACATATGTGTTTTTGGTATAAATTGAATAGCCATTACAGAATCATCATGCGCAAAGAGTGATCGGTGGCAATCGCCAAAGTCTAGACCCCAAATTTTTACATTTCGATCAGCAGAACCCGTGACAATCAAATTGGAATCATATGATATATCTAAACACAACACTGGTAGTTTGTGTCCATATAATGATAGAAAAAACTTAAATGAATCCAAAAAAAATATCTTCACAGTAGAATCGAGCAAACCCACTGCTAAATATTTCATGTCAGGACTTAAACGCACGCATAAAACAGTTTCCTCCAGCTTAAGAGTATTCTTATGCAGCACAGATAAGACTTTTGCTTGTGTAGCATGTTCATCGTCTTCTGTATGATAGCTGTCAACAAGTTCAAATGTCCATACTTTAACCGTGGTGTCACTGCTTGCAGTAACGCAACCTTTTTGATCAGGTAAAACAACTAATGACCATAGCTCACTTTCATGCGCAGGAATTTCTTCTGTAATATCACCGGTACCTACATCAACTATCAACAGCTTCCCCGTTTTCATACCAAGAAGTGCATAGCGATCGCCAGGCACAAAAGTAGCGCAAAGTATATAATCTGAAGTGACTGTTCGTAAACATTGCATCGTCTCTCGATTCCAAAACTTAAATGATTCTGCCGCACCAGATCCAATAGCTAAAGAATCTGAACTAAAACAAACTGTGCGTACCTCGGATTGATGTCCAGCACGTGTTAGAGAACGCAGAAGTTTATAATTTTCTTTTATATTTTTCTTTTGATTTAAAAGCACATTCAAACTATACAGTTGTAAACTGTTATTTGCTAAACTGACAGCCACACGTAATTCGTTATTACTACCCAATATCACGTCAATTGATTTTATTTTTTGCTTTACTTTAATGCTCTCTAAACGTTTAATTTCATCGCTTAAACTTACTTCTTGCGATTGTATATTATCTGCTGATTTATTTGCCTTTTTTAAACGTTTAGCCAAACGCTTTTTAGCTTCATCATCGGTACAAATATAAAAACTTTCAATTAAATCATTAGTACCGTGACAACTAATAACACGCTCGCTCATATCAGTTACTAAGCTAACTGTACGTCCTTTGCCAGCACGCTGTATAACACCACAATTAGATACTGAAATAGGACTAATAGTGTCTTCATCATCGATTGATAAGCCTTCTACAGCTCTTTCCAAAGGCTGTGATTCTACATCGTGTTGTTTTAATCGATATACATTCATGCTACTTTCACCGCAACCAGCTACCATAAGCGTACCAACAAATGCAAGAGCCCACACTTCAGTTCGATTATCTACAATGGTTTTAAAACAAAACTGCGTGTCCAGATTCCAAAACTTTATCTGTGTATCTTTCGAACTGCTTATTACAATGTTTTGTTGACCAAATACTTGCAGAAAGTGACCGTCTGTAATGGAAGCATTGTGCCCAGTTAATCGCTGTTTACCTGCTTGTTCGACTATGTCAACCACTACTAATTCAGTGTCTAAACCACCGGACACTAAACGCATTCCTTCATTATCGTATCGTATGATGGACACAGCACTTTTATGCACAGCTAGTGAACAAATTGCTTGCAATGGTGAGTTTAAATCGAACACTTCAACCACACCATCTGCGTAGCCAATTGAAATATGCGTATTGTCTGGTGAAGAGCGTAATGCGGTTACTTCTATTTTGTCACGCCGAAAGGTAGCCACACGTTCACCCAACCTGTGCACAAAATATTTCAATGTTATATATAATGTCTGAATTTATACATGCATTCACCTTAAATCCCACACAATAGCATTTTCTGCCGCTCCTGTCAGGACATAGCGCCCTTCAATGCCATTGTAAACAACAAAGTTCACATTCGTACGCGCGCTCGTTATTATATTAAAACTATCTACGGGCCTATAGGCCAAATATTGTTTTGTTAAGCCCATGTTTTCATTAAATTTTAAAGATTTAATATATGGAGAATTATTCAAAATTCACTTAGCACGTGCTCCTCCGCTCTTCTGTCTGTATAATTCTCTGTTTTTGTTTATCTTCTTTGCGTTTACATTTCCTCATACATCAGTGTTGGTAACCGGTCAATTCATTAGCTACAATTTTGTTAATTCTAACAATGTTGGAAAGTGTAACTCATATTTAGCAATAAGCCCTAGACATTCAGTTAATGTCCACATATAAATGCTATATATATTAATTTTCTTATTTCATTTCTATTATTTTTAATTTAGATAATCCTTTCTAGCATAAAAGAAGTAATGTGAGAATATATGTACTATGTGAGAAATTTTAAAAAGTCACAATTTCCAATATTGCTCAATATAACGGTGGATTCTTGTAGAGTTCACTATTCTAAACGACTTTTATATGGCGTCGAATGACTGATTTGGATCAAAAATCAAATCAAACAAATGAGGAGCAAATGATTGATTTCTACATACAAAATATCATATGTGCAAATGAGATTACACTGGCACAATAGATCTCATTTTGTACAAATGGGTTCCAACGAGCTTCAAATGAGTTCCAAATATGTTCCAAATGCAAAATGAATACATTGAATATACCGTAAACAAAAGTTTTTCATACATTTTTGACAGTTTGAGAAACCTGTTTTTGACATATTTACAAAGAAAAGGTAAACAAATATTTGATGGTTACATTTCATTGAAAACGAAGCACCTCTTTTTGAAATTTATTTTTCCCAAAAAGCACTTAATCGAAGCTAAAAATAAGTTTTCAGTTTCTATTGTAATTAGTGTTATATCCCAGCGGGACTTTCAGCGCTGAGGGAATCGATTCCCTCAGCGCTGAATGGTAATGCCTAGCGCTGATTATTCAAATGAAACTCCTAATTACTTTAACACGTGCATGTCATTGCGGGCAAGCGCTGAAATGTTCGATTACCTTTTCAAATTTGTAATGCAACATTTCAGCGCTGACATGCTCGCTTACCTTTTCGAATTTGTAATGCAACATATCAGCGCTGACATGTTCGCTTACTTTTTCGAATTTGTAATGCAACATATCAGCGCTGACATGTTAGCTTACCTTTTCGAATTTGTAATGCAACATATCAGCGCTGACATGTTCGCTTACCTTTTAAATTTTATCTATGCTATTGATTTTTAAATAAAATACTATAAATTTTTTTGGATAAATTATATTTTATATTTATGTTTTATAAAATTAAAATATTAATATTTACATAAAAAAATATAACATACTTATATAGATGAATATTTTTCTGGAAATTGTTACTAACACCTTGAAGAGATTTCCAGACTCGACTCGATCACTTGTTCCGGCTTACCATCTGTACTTAAAGCATCTGAAAATACAAAAGTATGTTATTGTATACGCTAAAGTTAATTATGTACAATATACCATACCAAAAAGTGCTGCTGTCACATTCTCTAACGCTCTTAAGGACTTCTTGCCTTGGGTACCATTCTCCAAAATTCGACGAAATCTTTCACGTAATTGGTTGTTTTTTAATAACGCGTCTCATTGATGCAGTCTATAAATAACGTAATAGATGAAAAGAAATGTATGAATAAGTAAAATTGTTACATGTGAATATATTAAGTTGAAATTGAAAGTAAGAAACATATATAATTTAACTTACAACTACTTCAACGGCAGTGATTTCTTCATTAAATTGAATTAAATCCTCCTCAGTTTGAATTGTAAAATTTTCCAATTGAAACAGCTGACTACATTTTACCCCTTGCTTTAGAATGACTGCATTCGCAGCACATTGGTAAATTAATCGTTCTTGACGCAGTAGCATCTACATAATACAAAACAAAAATTTCAATTATCATTTTAAATATATTTACTTGATTTTGCATATACTTACAGTGAGTTTATGATAAATTCACAAATTTTATTTATATTTTTAGATTTTATTTTAATTTTAAAAATTAAAAATTGTTTACTGCACGCACTTCACTAAAATCAAAAATAGACTAAATGTATACAATGCAGGCAAAACAAGAAATTCTTAATACTCCTTTGCTTTTCTTCTTCATTCTTTTATAATTTCAACCCCGAAATTGCCTATGTCGAAAACAAATGTCGAAAACAAAGAAAAATAAAAACGAAGAGCTATTACCTCTTCGCTTACTTTTTCAGCGCTGGCATAATGGTGCCGCTGGGTATTAGCAGCAACGAAAATTTATTGTCACAATATGTGTGAGTTTTAGTTGAAGCCATAAATTCTAAATGGATTTTCACATAAATTTGCAGCTTTGATTATATTAAAAAACTGCAGAACGGAATAAAAATATTTCATATAAAAAATGAATTTCTGAATTAAAAAGAATTTCCGAAATAAATGAAAATTAGTCAAAGTGGCTCAAATAATTGTTAAGCTTTTTATAAATAATTTATTTCTTTTTATTACACTTTTCTGGTAATTTTACATTAGTCATTGTTCCATTGTCATTTTTTTGTAACATTTTTGTTAAAACAAATGCATTATTGTTTGCATTCCACATTTAAATAATAGTCCTTTATTACTATTATTCTATATTTTGTAGAAATAAAATGGAATAATGAGAATTCCATATTTTTAATATATTATATATTTTAACGGCGGCAGTTATTGTTTATTAAAATAATCTTAAATAGTAGTCTTTAAAAATATTAACAAAAGTATTGTTCATATTTATTTGTTTTATTTAACATAAAAAACTTGGGTCCAAAAGATGTTCACATAACAAAATGCAAAGATGCAAAAAAAACGTTCAAGAAAAAATTTCAGCGAAGAAAAGTGAAATGAAATCACTTAAATTTGCTCATCTTAACCAACTCAGCATCTATAAAAAACTATTCACTATTTTTGCCCAGATAAAGTTTTCAAACTATATACATATATTTTCGTAGCAAGTCTTCCACGGCATATGTATTCACATTCCCACGTTATAATACAAGCCGCAGACTTTCAACATCTATATTAGCGCCGTTTGCGGCAAAAACAGTTCTCAGATACTTCGGATGAAATATACTTTATGCTGTAGTTTTTTTCTTTTTTGAGTTTTTGTATTTCTTATGCAAAGTATGTAACACAGATAAATATGGGTCGCTTGCATTTCGCGTATGAAAAGTTTTTGTTGAAAATTTACAAAAAAATATGAGTAACTGGCAATGCAGTTATATGAAAGGGACAATGCAACTTAACAATACGGAAATTGTATGTCTGTCTGTTGGCCTGTCACAAACTTATAAGTGATGTGGAACTGCAATAACGGAATTTCACAAAATGTCAACTTTGATTTGTTTACAGAGCAATAATTCTCAAAAGAAGGAAAAATGTAGAATGCTTTCATCTTTATTTTTGTATATATTTTTTAACAAAAAGATTTATTAATCTAAAAATATGCAGTAAATAGTGACAATAAAATACATTAAATATATATTATAAATATTAAAAATATGCAAGTTATTTTGGCATATGTCTACTATACATCTAAGTCATAAAATTGTAGCTTTTACACTAAGGTTAGCTTAGGTTATATCGGCATATGTCTACTATACATCTGAGTTACAAAAATGTAACTTTTACACTATGGTTAGATTAGGTTATATCGGCGATGCCTAGAGGATCCATTTAGGCCAATTGGTCCATTGTGTTACCGTACATAGAGGAAACTCAGGTTTAAAAACCCCCTAGCACCGTTGGCGAAGCTTAGAATTCTGTTAGGTGGGAGGTCTTGTAGTTAATCAAGATCCTCAAGAAAGGGGGCTCCGCCGTGTTTAGTCGCCGCCGTGCATGAGTTGGGCAAAGACAGAGTAGATGAGATGAACTTTCATCGTCTTCCACACAGTTGCAACATGTACAAATTGAAAGGGAGATTCAATCTTCTAGCATGGTTCCCTAGTCTGCAGTGACTTGTAAGAAAACCTAGCATAAAACTTATATCGCTACGGGGCATCTCAATGAGAACATTGGATTTCATTTTAGTGGAAAGAGGCCAGATTGCATGGATATGCCTACATATCCTACAACCAGTTTTTCAAAAAAGCTTTGATTCCACTGATTAATTTCTAATAAATTGGGATTATTTCTGCTGAATTAATTGTTGTTTTGCATAGTATATCAGATGAAGAAACCACAACATTATGGATTTAAGCTTTGTAAAGCAAACAGAATGTACAGCGCTTCTATTTAATTAAAATCTTAATAAATTTTTATGCTATTGTTGCCGTTAGCTATCGGTACATATATAATCCAAATGGAGCTTAAGTAACAAGTTACTGTAAGATGTAGTGCTTGCTATATTCATCATTGTAAGGTTACCAGTCACTATAGTTAAAATTTTATCTTTTGAGGTATAAAACAAAAGACAGTTTGAAATAAAATCTATTTTTCTTTCTGATATTTAAACTGAGATAATACTTGTAAGAAATTTTTTTAAACTATTTACTCTTCACCCAACAAACTAAAGAATTCTTATGGTAAGCATCTTAAGTTTGAATTTATATACAATTTTTGCAATATTTTGCTATGTATAGAGTTGCTGCAATCAATTAAAGGAATGTCTGCAAAAATACGGCTATAATACCAAACAATTTCTCCAACAATATAAGCATTCAGGAAAGAAACCAACAGTTATGATGAAATGTAACAGAATTTCTATATACTTCAGCAAACATATATACAACAGCAACAACTTAAAAGGGTTGAGCAGTTAATGAACATTAACTCGCGTAGTGTGAAGCGAATATCGTTCCTTGTAACGAGTACTGTTTAAAAAATTATAGAATACCTAAAATAAAAGAATTTAACTGTGTAGTTGAAAGATGATGCCCTTATTTTTAATAGAGAATAGTGGATATTTCACCAACACAAATGTACAATAATAGACTAAAGGTGAGAATAGACATGTGTTTTCGCATTAACATCTATTCTAAACTCACATGTGAATCATCGTATGCTAATGAATTCACTGAACTAAGTGCAACATCTTAAATATAAACCAGAACTATTTGAATGTAAACCTCTGGTCAATATATGTTGATAAATTTAAGAACTATGCGTGACTTGTGGAATATAA